TGTATTGTTATGTAATGTAAAGTCGCACACCACCCTTCATCAAGGTCAATTTTTTTGTAATGTATTGTTATGTAGTGTAAAGTCTCACACCACCCTTCATCAAGGTCAGTTCTTTTCTGATGTATTGTTATGTAGTGTAAGGTCGTACACCACACTTCATCAAGGTCAATTCTTTTGTGATGTATTGTTATGTAATGTAAAGTCGCACACCACCCTTCATAAAGGTCAATGCTTTTCTGATGTATTGTTATGTAGTATAAAGTCTCACGCCACCCTTCATCAACATCAATTCTTTTCTGATGTATTGTTATGTAGTGTAAAGTCGCACACCACCCTTCATCAAGGTCAATGCTTTTCTGATGTATTGTTATGTAGTGTAAAGTCTCACGCCACCCTTCATCAACATCAATTCTTTTCTGATGTATTGTTATGTAGTGTAAAGTCGCACACCACCCTTCATCAAGGTCAATTCTTTTGTGATGTATTGTTATGTAGTGTAAAGTCTCACACCACCCTTCATCAAGGTCAGTTCTTTTCTGATGTATTGTTATGTAGTGTAAGGTCGTACACCACACTTCATCAAGGTCAATTCTTTTGTGATGTATTGTTATGTAATGTAAAGTCGCACACCACCCTTCATCAAGGTCAATGCTTTTCTGATGTATTGTTATGTAGTGTAAAGTCTCACGCCACCCTTCATCAAGGTCAATTCTTTTCTGATGTATTGTTATGTAGTGTAAAGTCGCACACCACCCTTCATCAAGGTCAATTCTTTTGTGATGTATTGTTATGTAGTGTAAAGTCTCACACCACCCTTCATCAATGTCAAGTCTCAGTCGCACACCACCCTTCATCAATGTCAAGTCTCACAATTCTACTTGTCCGTAACACGGAAGTATTGCTTCCCAACTTCCTTTGACCATCATTTTTTTGGACAAAAAAAATTGCCATCCCCCCCCCCCGCAGATTTCTTGCCACAATAGTAAATTTTCCAAACAACACATGGATTCAGAATTTGTAAAATTCTTACCACAATCGCGAACCTAGCCACTAATCATAATACAACATTACATGTAGTAACAATTTAATACATGTCCACCTAATTTGGACAAATTAGTACAAATCTAACAAACGCCAAAATATAGATTCTTTACCAAAACCCGGTTTGTTTCGAAAAGCTAGTCTTTTTTTTAAAACTGGACGTACATTTTTTTGGGTTTTTAAAGCTCTTAGTATATAATATTTCAATTTGTATATAAAATACATAATATATACATACATATTTAATATATTGATTATATATGATTATATATATATATTATAGTATTATATTTATTTAATATATCTAAAAAATGTATCATAATTTATATGAATTATAAATCATGAAATATATCATATTACATCATAGTACAGAATTAAGATATTATTAAAATATTTATTGCCAGTAAAATTAATCGAAAGTAATTGGAATGGATCTGACCTGACAGAAGATTTATATTCTTTGATCATAATTGATATGAGTCAAAATGAGTCAAACATATCAAGACAGAAATGGAAAATAATTCAACATCAGATGCATGTCTGTACGTCTTCTCGCCTGCCTCCAAGTTTTTGAAGTCCCCATACGCTGAGCAGTCCAAGCCCGCTGCTTCAAGGTTTTCCTGAGCCACATCGAAGCAGTGGCTACGCCGCTATGACGCTACCCTTGACTTTGGTAAAAGATCAGAGTGTAGACCCGTCAGCATCTTTGCAGGTAATAGCCTACCTTGAGTAAGAAACTACGGTAAACCTCAGAAATACCGGTGGCCATGATTTGAGTCATTCGGCATCAACACTGCTGTCAAATCTCCCACGTTACCATTCCCTTCTCCGTAAACGCTTCAAGGCGCAAAGATGCGAGTCAAAATCTGGAAATGCGCAACACATCCAATGTTTTGTTGCCTAGGGGCACACATCTGGAGCATGTGGAAATGTGTGCGTCTATAGTCTATAGAACAGTCAGTCATTATGCAACTCTGTCACTGACCTGAACAGCCCTTATCTTTGTATGAGCATTTGCAGGACCCGATTTACTAGATTCATGCAACCTCACCGCCCAAACAGGTTGCATAAGCACAAGACAAGCAATGTGCAACTTCGAAGTCCTTGCAAAGCTCTAGCAATTAATATCCAATCACGTGTACATGTCAAAGTTTGCCGCAAAGTCAAGGTGTCGCACTCTTGATTACGAAGCCACTCGAAGAACCTGCAGCCATACTTTCACATGTCAAGTCCGCCGGCCAAATGCAATAGAAAAGGGTCTGTGGCATTGTACATATAGACAAATCATCTGCACTGCAAACCCCCAAAAAACCGAGTCTGAACACGGTGGCCACCTTACTCCGAAGGGTCACGGACGTTATGTGTATGTTAAAAGCCTGGCACAGCATAAAGAGACTACGCAAGCTTGTTTCAAGACCAGTGTCTCGCAACATCATTTCGATGAAGAAAATAAATGGTCCTGAAATATCTGCCACGCTCAGGCGACCCTGACATCAACCCCCAACATGATATTCCGCTACACCACCGCACCTTTGAATGCGCTCATCAACGCTCTCTGTACTCTCTACCTGGCCGTGGAATCCCTTGGAAACCAGCCCAACAACACTGCAAAAAACCAAAGATGGAAAAGGTGAGGGCTGAGCGCAAGTGTTGCAACAAATCGCAACGAATTAACAGGTTGGCTGCACATTCAACCCAATCCCAAAGGTCCCAGAGTCATCAGATCTTGTTCCCCACCTTATCAGGTCCCAGAAGAGTATCTGCACCTGGAGGTACCTGGAAGCTTCAAATCCCCCTGCAGAATTGAATTATGCCAAGTGGCATAGCTGTACAGCAAACGTGACAAATCAATGGGCATGGGCATAGTTTTGAAGAAGGCTCACAGATATGAGTAAATTTCGCTAGCGGCCAGATTCCTGGTTTGGTTGTAATTAATGATATTGATCAAGCAACAACTATCACTCTGGCCTTATCAATCAAGCTTGAGTCCATGAAATTTCCTCCCTCATAAACATTTTTGATTCACATCTTAGAATGATTCAATATGATTCATTGTCAGACTGCCGATACAATTTAAGCTCTTCTGTGGCACAAACGTAAACATGCAGTCACGCGCAAACGGATGTTCCCATTGTGACGAGGAACATTAGTAAAGTCCACATGAGGGAACACGCTCCGCAGCTCCTGAGGGTGGACTTTCACCAGCTGCATCTTGGTTTCTCAAGTGACCCCCAAACCACAGCCTGAAAGATCAGGTATGTGATTGAAGATGTGAATCCCTTGAGAAAGACATCCGTCCAAAAGCTTGTCAAATCCATCCAATCCTCATCTGATACCTGTCCTGGTATAGATGGATGGGTTGATCGATTACTGGGATGTAATCAGTCATCACTCACTTTTGCCAATGAAAATGCCGTGGAGGTACTGACCCAGCAGAGAGAGGGATGTTCGCCATCATAAATGCTTCTATAAACCAACAAGTTGAACAAGTTGTCATTTTGACCAATCTTATTGTTCATGGTGGTCAGTATCTAACCACCATCTTTGTGGGTATGTAGGTCTTACATGTGTGATATTATTACATATACACATGAATATGTTTATTATCTATATATATTATATATATATGTATATATATAGTATTATATAGTTACAGTGTGTTACAGTATATTACAGTCTAAAGTCTAAAGGTATATCTATCCACAATTTCTCGCCAGATCCGCTGGTTCCGTCCTCCGGCGCGCGTCGCGAATCACAGGGCTGGAACTGCTTTCCGCAGAACTCTCGGAGCTCCTTCCAGCATAAAGTGTATAGCGCGGTTTCACTTCAGAGCATGTGACCAACAAGAATTGGGATTTTCACTTGAAACGTGGGTTTGAGTTTGTCTGACAATTTCGAGGAAAACGACAAATTTGATGGTGTTTTTCACCTCATTTTCCCTTTCAATCGATGGCCATGTGCAGGTTGATGTGTCCCTATTTCCAGACCAAAGCCAGAGCGGGGAAATCCCCGAACTGAATGGAAAGTTCTTCAGCAAAGCATGTTTCAGGAAGCAGGCAATCTTTGGTTGGCTTTGGTTGGATATATTGGGATATCTAGCCAATAATGGAAACAATAAATAAAGGTAACGAAGGTAACCTATTCTGGAATATAATGGGATACCATCAATGGGCAATGGGTAAGATCAAGCTTGATCGAAGATAGAATTCAACATGGAACAAATGATGTCACAATTCAACGATTGTACTACTGCATCTAGCCCAGCTGTTGGGGTCCATGCGAAAATTGGGAGGTGTATTTGCCCAGCTTGGGCATCTCTAATTGTTGTCAATAATTAATGTTATAATAACAGAATCACCTTGGGGAACTTAAACCAGGGAATGTAGCATCACATCACAGAATTACACAATTGGGGCATTAGAGGAGATCAAACAACACCACAATAAAGTGAGATACACTGGGTATCAACCAATAATAAGGGAAGAGATATCAAACAGATTCAAAAATAGGGTGCGCTGGGAAGGTCAAGCAATGAACATGGGGGAGATTAAGGGTAGAATGCGGTTACAAATCAGATGCCTCTGGGCTACTTGGATGGGAGACACCTCTAAAACCAAACTGGAAGGTTGGCTTTAATGCCCCTAGCCGCGCTAGCCTCTGGTAAACACAGCTATTGAAAATCACAATTCTTGATACTTATTAGGTAAATCATCTAGACATGGACCATTCACAAATGCCATACAATAGCCATGTTTACTGGAGGGCAAATCCTCAATCCGTCCAATAGACAGCAACCATGTCAGGCAAAGGGGTGACTCTAATTTGGAACAAAGTAGAGATGAACCACTCCGTGACTCTCCTTTTTGTCAATGTTCAAGACTGTAGGGACTTACAATATGTGTCTATATATCCATACCTAGTATATCTGACTATATATACTACAATTAGTAAGACAATTCTATAATTCTATATATATATATATACATATTATGCTACGAACGAGCGATGCGAATACGTTGGACTACCATGGACTACCTATACACTTATATATACATTATATTATACTATATCAATAAACATGTGTATATATATATAATAATGGTATATATATATATATATATATATACGTATATGAAACTCTATCTCTACATCCATCATCGAGCAACCATTTTCCTATGCTTCTGTATGAATTTGATAATTCCCAGGATGTCCTCCAAGGCCTGCAACGGCGGACCACCGGAGTCGCAACCAAAAACCTCACGGCGGACGTCCGCGGATACATCCACAGGATGCCCTCTTTATGGCCATCAAATTAGCATATAATATTAGTGTAACTTATCCATTTCAAAGTGGCTGTTTATATATATATATGTTATTATTAGTAGGGTATATTAACAACCCACCCAACCACCAACCCACCCACCCAACCAACCAACCAACTAACCAATCGCTACTGTATGAAGTGGTTCCATTGTGATGATTACGGTATTAGAGTAGAGAAGATTATGGTTATAATGCTGGTTACTATCATATTATCGAGGTCATTTATCCATGATTAGTGAATACGACTATAGGTTGATCAATGGATAGTGGGTGGATGAATTCCGTGGTCAACGATTCTTTAATTATGTTGATTGATCGTCCACAACAAGCACGGGGATTCACCATATCAATATGTACTGTAGCATACTGTAACTATTTCCTTTGATTGCGCTAGCTCATCCAACAAATCATTTAAGATATTCAAGTAAGTGTGGATTTATTGCTTTGCAGAGTTTGGTTTTTGTTCGAAAACGAGCAGCGTCCCCGTGAATGGCAGCAGGATCAAAGCAACAGGAAACTGAGGTTTCTGCTGCTGTCGCGGTCTGCAATGCCCTCGTCAGAGGTGATGCGACTACAATGTCCACCTGACCGATGGGCACCTGCCACCTGACATATACCACCAAAAGCTGGAGTTTCCTTCGCAGTCGCAGTTTCGTGCTACCTGTAGGTCTATCTCATACAAGAAATCTCCCAGTCTAACTAGGATATGATATCCATCATCTAGCATGAATCCGGTCATGCCCCAGTCTTATCCATTGCAGTAGGGGAGATGCACGTCACACCAGGCGTTGCTGAAGAGTTGCTGAAGACCAACATTTGCAGTCTGCAGCTCCCGGTCCAAAATTTGGACAAAAAAAATATGTTGACCAAAGATAGGGACCTCTAAACTGATTTCTCAACCAATTTCTCATCGTTGCTTATTTTTCCTTGTGAAACATCAAAAAATCTGCGCAATTTTCGGGATGCTTAAGGTTGCCCCCCCCACGCCTGCGGGGCTTTCGCGCGCATCTCTTTAGCCTGAAAACTTTGACCGCAGTTGGGATTACTTTCCAGTTAGAAGGACAGAAAGCACCAAACAGCTAGCTGGAAGTAAATGTCTACCAAATAAATTCATGCAAATTAATTTGCTATCTTTTGGAGTAGTTTTGGGTGATTTGTATATTGGCTCATGAAATGGGGTCATGTTGAGAATCCATTAGTCAGTTGGGTCAACAATCTGCAGAAGCCCGTGCATTAGTCCAACCATTGGTTTTCACCATGACAAGACAATTTCGAAGGATATAAAAGGAGGGTCTCCAACATAGACTCCAAGATTTCCCAGTGATTGCAACCTGCCAGTATATAGCAGTGCCCAGTTGCACTATCGAATTGTATCTACCCTTCACCATCCCGCTATTCACTATATATCATTGCATACGGCTAGAATCCGCTAAAAGCAAACAACACCTGTGCTTGGAGCAGCAAAGTTTGGCCAAGTTTCCCACCTCAGAAAGGCCTTTCTCTGAAAGGGGCGAGTCCAAGTACTTCATGTCCTCATGGCGCTAGACAGGTGGATAGCTGAGAGAGATGGGACACAGGTCATCTGAGAAATTTGCAACCTCCAGGTCGCAACAAAATATTCTTTGAAAAAATTGAACGCACAAGATTCAACTGTTTGAAACTCAACTGTTTATACACTACCTGTTCTTTCAGCTTGGAGAAACTTGTGTGCAAAAAGGAACTGCTCTAGACTTCCTTTCCAGCCAGAGATTTGGTTTGAATCAACAACTTCTTCCCTACCAGTTTCATCCAGTTTCAAAGTTCCCTTCCAAATGTTACAGTAAGGATTGTCAACATGGATGTATTTGCAATCTATGATAATATATATACCTGGAAAGCCGTTTGAACAAAATTTTTTGTTCATTATGGGAAAATCTGGTCGAATACACCTTTTAATGATCAATGAACAATTTTACCCGTAATGACCAGATAATTTGGTCAATTCACGATATTGCTATTGGAGGTGCGCCCGATCCTTGCATCCAAGGCTCACAGTATGGATGTGAATGATGTGAAATAAAAAAGGGGGAGATGCATGTGACCATGCACCCCAAATCGAGAATGGAAGAAATATATGATGGGTGCCATAGAATATATTATGTGGCATAGACTATATATTATAGATTCCCAACAGGGTCTCTTGAAATATGTGCATAGAAACCATGCGTCCTGATTGGGATGATTGCATCGCTGCTGAGCACGTTGAGGCCCGCTCTGATTACGTGGGGGGGGGCATCGAAAAACGAAATAAGTTTGATTTGATTTCTTGCCATGAATTCTATCTTGCAAGTACAGTTGGCTTTTGCTGGAAGCTTTTGGGCGTTCCCTTCAGAGCAAACCGGCTCAAAAAAAAAACGTTTTGCTGCCTTGCTATGGCGAACCTTTATGGTGTTGCTAAGCATTGGTGGATGGAGCCTTCCATCCAAGAGAGGGTGAAAGAGGGCGGCATTGGTGCCATTGTTGTAACCAACAATACCCAGCCCCTTGCATCCAAAGATGTACGTCATGCCTTGTGGAACAGAGAAGTCTTGATCCCAATCATGGAGAATATGCGATACCACCACCTGATCAAGACACCTGATATGGGGACGATTCAAGACCAAGTTTGGATTCTCCAGCTGCTGTCTACCAAGCAGGGATTTGATGCCCACAACCTTCCTCCAATCCCTGAAGAGTTGGAAGTGCCGGTTCATTTGTCGGTGATTAGCATTAAGAAGCTGGTGTCATATGTGCGAGCCAAGTACATTCGTCCTCACATGCCACGGGACAAGGGTTCCTTTCTTCATGCATGTTTCCATTTTTTTATGTGATTATCAATCATGCAGTTCAAATCAGATCATAATTTCCAGGTCTTTCCCGGAACCACAGTATGTATTTTCTTCCATTCCAATTTGCATATGATGGATGGAAGAAATCCTGCACCTGCACCGCTTCGTGCCCATGTATAGTGGTAACACTTATAACTATAACTGCAATGGGACTATATTGGATAAACCATCTATCATCCGGTGCAAGATTTCTTCCATCCACAATATGGTTCAGATCCCTTGGATCATATATGCCCCATAGCTACCCCTGGAGGACGCAGACTTCAGAGAGCTCTTGACCCACTTTGGCGAGTTGGAGCCTTTTTTGCACCCGGCACATTGTCCATGGTTCATCGGGCCAGCACACTTTCAAATGGTAAAGGTGAAACCGGTGAAACCAATGAATTTGACTGCAGGCTGAGGTTGATATATAGATTTTATGGGAATCATTTCAATATATTTGGAACCCTACATTACATGCATGTATACAGTTGTTGCAATATGTTGGAGTGTTTGCTATCAATTCCCACCGGCCTTGGCCGCGCAACTCCGCCTCTCAGGAACTCTATTTAGACCTCCCCGCGGACAAGTCAGCTCCTGACGACAGCGAGGATGAGAAGGGCGAATCTAAGGAGTGTGATCTACGTGATCGGGTTCGTCAGGTGCCAATTCCTTCACCTACTACAACCCCGGTTGTGCCAGCTCTGGCTGAATCTGTGGGTGGGAACTCGGGTTTGCTTGAGAATGATATGTGGGTTCCAGAAGCCCTTCCTGTTGATGAGCAGGAATGTGTGTTTGGATTGCACAAAAAAATCATGGAGGCCAAGGCCAGGATTGCTGAACTCAAAGGTCAGAATTCCAACAGTACTGGTACTCCCATGGTTTCTCCGAGTGATCCAGTTCCAGAGATAGCGTCACCAGTGGATTCGACTTCATCAAGGGTTGCTGAAATTAGATCCCGGATGGAAAAGTTGCAGTCAGATTTGAAGTTTCTTGTCAGTACCATCGACCAGTTTCCGTCTTTATGAAAACATTGTTCATATGGCCATCCAAGTTGATCAACAGCAATCTTAAGAGGTATAGATGTATTCCCCTGGAACCTTAGGATAGATGTATTCCCCTGGAACCTTTAAAAATTAATATCAAACCTGTGAACCCATCTCTTTCCCAGGTTGGAAGCCAGCACTTCTGTGCCAGCAATGGACTTTGATGAGACTCTCCCGATGGTGCCGGATGAAACTCAGTACTACGCTCCCGATGCTGTGCCCGATGCTGTGCCCGATGCTGGGGTGGATGAAGCTTGGTGCCCCCCCGAAGCCACTCAGGGTGAAGATGAAGGCCCCAAAATCAATGATCCTACTACTGGCAATGGTGATGAAGGTGAGCGCATTCCTGTTCCTTGAACCGGATATAGGTTGATGTCTCTACCACTTCAACCGAACTTCAAGTGTTTCTGTTTTAGATGTTTTTTTTTCAGGGGAAAAGTTCAATATGTGGGTTCTCAGCTGCTCTGTGCGCTCAGGTTGTGGATCGCTTGAAGCAACAGCGGTTGAAGGATGAAAAGAAAGAGGAAAACTCTACGAGGAAAGGAAGGAAGCCTAAGGGAAAGGCAGGAAAGGCAGCCAAGGCAGAAAAGCCAGCAAAGGCACGAAAGGCAGCTAAGGCAGGAAAGGCAGCAAAGGCAGAACCTGAAGCAAACAAGGAGCAATCCAGCAACAGTCCAAAAACCATAGGTAAGAGACTTCGCAGGATGAAGTCACAGGTGCGCATGGTAAGCAATGAACCAGAAGATGGTAAGATCACCCAGAAGGATAAGGCCACACCATCAGCAGCAAAGACAAGGAATCCAAGCAGTGAGACAACGGCAATCCCAACCACTATGAGCAAAGGTAAGGGCAAGGATGAACGCAATGTCAAGGAGGCAGGCAAAACGAAGAAAGTCAAGAAGGGATGCAAGGTCAAGGGATGCAAAACGAAGAAAACGAAGAATGTAAAGAAGGCACAGGGTGAAGAGGAGGCAATGGACCAGGCAGGACATGCAGGCAAAGGAGCAAAGGCAAAAAAAGCAAAGCAGTCGTCCACATGTGCGGAGCCAGCCCCCAAAGCTGGAGAGGACAGCCCACTCGCCTTTCATCTTAAGCATGCATGTTTGTTATGACATATCACATATGAGCAACATAATGGCTACATATCCTTAAGTATAAACTGATCTACAAGTCTATTACCAAATGTCTCCAGGATGGATGCCGCCGAAAGCGCATCAAGCACGATGAGACCACGGGTGAGATTAAATCCGTAGTTGAGCACTTGAACCAACAGTTTGAAGGGCAGTTCAAGATCATGGTGTACTGGTCGCGCTCAGCTGTAGGATTCCTAATCCTTAAGAATGGCAAGCTCCAACAGGCTTGGTAGCTGAAAACGTTAAAACCTTTCTGATGTTCTAATTATTTGATGTTCTGGTTGAAAATGTTGGGAATTATGTATGATTCATTTCATAAGTAGGTTACCCACATGGACAGACCCGCCAACCCAGTCTCCTTTGCCATTGTTGGTGTCCCGATCCACGCCATGTCCTGGAGGTTTGCTACTGCACAGTGCGCTTTGAGGATTTGATGTTTGCAGTCAAGAGTGTCGCAACCATAGCTACTTTATTGCACCCCAGGAGATGCTTTTCCTTTGTCCCATCAACCATTCAATAAATGCAATCCCACTTGGAAAAAGTAATTGGCCACAAGTGGTAAGCCATGACCCTGAATTGTTGAATTAACAATCTGCAGCCCTTGACTTATCTGAGGCTGGTCAAATGCTCAACGGCATTGATGAAGCGGACGCTGTGTCGAATTTTCTGTACTACAAGCCAGTTCTTACCGGCCAGAGCTCTGATCCCAATTTGAAGGAGGAGTTGCACAAACATATCAAGGAATTCACTGATGAAGTCAGCCCCGAAAATGAGGATGCTGATGCTCAGGATGTTGACTAAAGAAGCCGGACATTTATCTTAGAGTATATCTGTAGGGTTCCCATGCATGTAAGGCTTTCACATCACCGTTTTCGAAACACATGGTTTATCGCAGTGAACCTCCAGCTACAATGACTACTGAACGCATGAACTCATTTTTCATTGTGTTCATATCAGCATTTGATCTGTGATTGCCTGCTGGCATGGTCCGCTTTGTGGCACACAATTCTATCTTTGGGGGATACGGCTTAAACGCCGCAAGACTTTGTCTCGCCAGCGCTTTGGGGAAAAAAGTTTCCATCTCCCACTTTGTATTTGGGCAGGGTTCCATTTATCCAGATGAAAAGAATACGTACCAAAGTCTTACAAAATCGGAACAGGATGTGAAATTACCACCAACAATTCTGGGTTCATTCACTTTCAATCGTCATTCTCGCCTTGGACAGGTTATGTGATTGCTGCTGCTGCTATACCAGCTGGCTGAGGACTGGATGGTGGTCACATTTTTTCACAAACAATGGATGAAAAATGAAACCCAGCCCAGCGTTTATTGTTTTTTGAAATGCAAATCATGAGAAGTTCATTCCATACATGGTGGACCCTGAGAAACATTCCCCAGCAACAAAGATCCCACACGCTCGCACAATCGTCCTTCCGCCAGGATCTTGGCATGCCTCTTGCAGGCAAGAAATGGATTGCGAAACGGGGCTTTGTGAAGCCAAGTCGA